GCCACCAGAAGGACATTAAGTGTCCAGGGATGAGCCAGCTAGAAATTCTTGGGAAATATCGGGTGCTTACTTAGCATTTGTCACAGCAGGAACCAAAAGCGAGTGAGAGAGGACCTTGAAAAAAGAGGTCTAGGGAAGAATCCAGTAGAAGGAGAGAATAGACTTGTTGGGACCAGTGAGATCGATTGTGGAAAAAAGAATTCCGACCAGGAAACAAAGAGGGGCTGGGCTGATGGCCAGAAAGCTGTGAGCAAACCCAAAAAGTTCTATAACTTTTATTCATTCAGTTAGTTATTCATTTAGTTAGTTCTGTAATTGAATGAATGATGTTACCAGACTTTACGAATACATTTGGAGCCCGCAGAACCCAAAGCACCTTTTCTTTTGGAAGTTCTGTCATCACACTTTTTCACAGACTAAGACTCAGCACCCACAAAGTATGCTCACTGCCTGCCAGCTCCCAATGTACACAGCTTCTTCCTCCACATTTTCCAACTCCCCTTCCTCTTCAGTCCTTTCCGGTCTTCTCCTCCAAGGGAGAGAACGTCTAGGAACTTTGGTTTAAAATATCGTATATGTTGGGGCGCCTGGGTGGCGCAGTCGGTTGAGCGTCCGACTTCAGCTCAGGTCACGATCTCGCAGTCCGTGAGTTCGAGCCCCGCGTCGGGCTCTGGGCGGATGGCTCGGAGCCTGGAGCCTGTTTCCGATTCTGTGTCTCCCTCTCTCTCTGACCCTCCCCCGTTCATGCTCTGTCTCTCTCTGTCCCAAAAATAAATAAACGTTGAAAAAAATAAAATAAAATAAAATATCGTATGTGTCGTAGCCCCCACCCCTGTGAAGTCATGGAAAAAAGATAAAAATGCACACACTCACTGACAGACAACTTGTACCAAACTTGAGAACAAGTCTCCCTAATTGGAAGGTTGGCCAGGAAAGGCAAAGCAATCCATCACCCATGCAATGCCATCAGAACATAAGTTGAAAGATTCTTTCTTTTTCCTTTCCTTCCCCCTCCGAATCCCCCACACCCACCGCCTCCCATGAGATCCACCATTTAGGCTCGCTAGCAATAAGATATGCAGCTACAGATTTTTTAAGGCTCTCAGAATTCAGTTCCTCCCTTCTGTTTCTTGCTGATTCATACTGAACGTTTTAGCATAGATAGGCATTCTCTATCTTCCAGAAACTGATAAGGATACGCAAGTGTTGAATACGAGTAATGAAGGGCTACTGAGCCCAAGGTAGAGGATGGCCATAGGGAGTTGCATTGTGGGAGGTGTGATACCTACGAGAGGAGTCCTTTAGAGGAGTTCTGTAGTCTTTCTGTGTGTTGGAGAAACCACATACAGGCAGTAAGATTAGGACCAGCTCTAATTTTTGCCTAGCGGTGTCACTGGTATTAAATACAGTCAAACCTCGGATTGCAAGTGACTTGTTCTGCGAGCGTTCCGCAAGACGAGCAAACACTTCTCATCGGTGTCACCCCGGTAAATGAGCGACGTCGTGCAATAGGAGTCGTACCTGATGCCGAACGTCACGCGGTCACAACTGAGCCAATCGTTCTTGAAGTACAAGATATACAAGTGCTTTGGATTACAAGCATGTTTCTGGAGGGAATTATGCTCCCAAACCAGGGTTATTGGGCAATTGGGGTAAGGCAGTGGGGCATGAAACAGACACCAGCTGAAGCTCTTAGAAGAGATTTTCCGTCAGCTCCCAAGTGGACTCCAGTGGTGCTCAGAGGGCTGCACTTAGCACTAGGTCTGGATGGACGACACTTGGGTTAAGCATGGGTACGGAGAGGAAACGGCACCAACTGTAACTCGAAGGACCAAGAATATTTTTCTACCAAAGTGATAACTAAATAGCATGTAGTCTATTTCCACAACCAGAAGAAAAAAAAAATCTGAGGAACAGTTTTTGATTTGACTGGTAACATGCAAGAAGAAGGGTGTAGGGAAACTCCCACTCCTCCAGTGTGTCCCTCCTTTAGTCTCACCCCGGTATTGCATTAAAACATTATTTTTTAATGTGTATTTATTTTTGAGAGAGAGAGACAGAGCGTGAGCGGGGGAGGAGCAGAGAGAGAGGGAGACACAGAATCCAAAGCAGGCTCCAGGCTCTGAGCTGTCAGCACAGAGCCCAAGGCGGGGCTCGAACCCACGAACCGTGAGATCATGACCTGAGCCGAAGTCGGACGCTTAAGCGACTGAGCCACCCAGAGGCCCCTGCATTAGAATACTTTTCATGCCAGCTATGTAGGGTTTTCCCCACCCCAAGCAATTCTCTGCGACACCTGCTGTATGTCCTACAACGTAACTAAATCAGAATTGATTGAGGTGCTGTCTACCTGGAGAGGATGTGAGATCCCACAGGTGAAGGGCTCATCCCAGGAGACTGCCTCCCTCACCCCCCATTTGAAAGTCCAGGTTATCACCTATGATTCCCACTGACCGGCTAGAAATCAAAGGTTCCATGAACCCCTCCTTGGGTTCGATTTATTGACTAGAGAGCGTCACAAAAGTCAAGAAAGCAGTGTGCTTACTGTTTACCGGTTTATTATGAAAAGATATGAAAAAGAATACATCCTCCCTTCCCGGCAGCCATCCTCATGGATTTCCAGCAACCTGGAAGGGGCAATTACAAGAAAAAGGCCTAGTGGCTATCTGTAAATTTCCAGTGATGGGGATAATTTACCGACAGCAGACTGAGCAGTGGGTTTCCAAAGATTTCCATATCCGGAATCTACAAACTTGTAAATAATGGCATTTTTTATAAGTTTCTGACTTTTGATTTTGGCTCACGTCATGATCTCACTGTTCCTGAGATCGAGCCCTAAGTTGGGCTCTGTGCTGACAGCTCGAAGCCTGCTTTGGATTCTCTCTGTCTCTCACTCTTTCTCTCTCTCTCTCACCCTTCCCCACTCGTGCTCTCTCTCTCTCTCTCTCTCTCTCTTTCTCAAAATAAATAAGCGTTAAAAAAATTATGGAATTGCTACACTAGAGCAACAATGGATAGTAGCAATGGGCAGAAAATCATATTGAGAAAAGAAAACACAAAAAGTTCGTTAGTCCTAGCAGGAACAAACTTCAGACACTGAAGCACTCAACGGAGAATAAAGTAAGGCTGTAGTAGGTAATGATAGTAAAATGGAAATTTTTAAGAGTCTTGGAGGAAGAAAACAGAGCTGGAACAGAAACAACTTTCCAAAACATAACCAAAGAAAGCTTTACGGAGTTATTATAAAGACTAAGATATGCATATCAAATAGTTTCATAGCAGTAGAAGCAACTTTAGTGAAAAAAAAAGAGGCTGGCAGGATAATTAAATTGTGCACGTCCATATCATATAAGCACAGGAGAATAAAAAGAAAATACAATTTTAAAAAATTAATGGTAAAATAATAGCAAACAGGCTGACCTTAGACTTACCTGCTGAAAATGCCAAATGCACTAGAAAAACATCTACTCGGTCCAATGGGGATTAGACTGTGACTCACTATATCGTCACTAACCAATATTCCTCTACTAGGGAAAGGCTGCATAGGTACACTTGCAAATAATATGAAAATTGATCATCCATATATCAGGCTTTTGGAAAACAAATTCACACTTAGGTCCTGGCCAAACTGAGAGATGAATCAAAATGAGAAAATCAGGAGTGCGAATTTCATGGCATTACACAGCCCCATCTCTGCTTTTGCAAATGGTATTCTGATTTTGGAAACACAAATTAGGAAACCAGTTCAGAGGATGATTATGTGTTGAGAAGCGGATCCTGCCACCGGAGGCAAGTATGGTCCTGTGTTGCTGTCTTCAGCTGTTCCTCTGGAAGACTCTTTCCTGGACCCAGGGAACGAGCGCTGTGTGGTATAACTCGGTTACTTGCGTTTGACTGTGACTTCGAACAATAACCTGATGTTTCAGCCCTGTTGCAGATGACCCCTTTTGAGGACATGACGAAGCGCCATGAACTATCCTCTCCTACCTTTGCTTCCTAGAACCGGAGATATGCACAACAGCAAAAAATGGCAATCATTTCATTTCCAAGGCTATCACCAAATGAGGGTTCTTTTGCATCATCAAAACTCATATTGAATAACCTGAGCTGCTGATTTTTCTCTTTAACTGGGCAAAGGATGGCACTAATCCTAAGAGTAGCGGGTACTATTCTCTCATGAAGCCTCGTTTTTCCCCCCAGGGTTTTAGTTATTAAAAACCAAAGTTTGGCTGTGGTTTTTCATATAGGTTGCTTTTTGTATGTATACCCACCTATAGGAAACACGCCATGCAGAAAATAGAGTCCATTTTTGATGCCATTTTTGGTCATTTTTCTTTCTCTCTTCAGTTTGTGAATTCACTCCCCTCTCTTCTCTCTCTACTCACATCAGCCGACTTCTCCACAGGGAAATAATATGAATTACCCAGTAATAATCTTTCCATATGTCTTCAAGCACATACATTCTTATACAGATATAATCCTATGATCCCCTATCCGTGGGTATAGAGGGTGTGTGTGTGTGTGTGTGTGTGTGTGTGTGTGCACACGCCTGCATGTGACCACTTGTTTTTCCAAAATGAACTTTACTTCCTACACAAGGATTTCCTACTCAGCAATTTTTCATGGAATCCCTTCCGAGTCATCTGATACGGCTGTTTCTTTTTCTTTTTAGTGGTTCCATTATAGCCCCTGCAATGGAGGTACTGAGCTTGAGTCTTTCTTGGTTTTTTTGTCTTGTTTCCTTCTCTTGCCTTCCTTCCTTCCCTCCTTCCCTCCCTCCTTCCCTTCCTTCCTTCCTTCCTTCCTTTCTTCCTTCCCTCCCTCCTTCCTTCTTCTTTCTTTCTTTCTTTCTTTCTTTCTTTCTTTCTTTTTGTTCTTTCTTTCTTTCTCTTTTCTTCTTTCTTTCTTTCTCTTTCTTCTTTCCTTCCTTCTTCTTTCTTTCTTTCTTTCTTTCTTTCTTTCTTTCTTTCTTTCTTTTTCTTCCTTCCTTCCTCTCTCTTCCTTCCTTCTTTCCTTCCTGCCTGCCTTCTTGCCTGTCTTTCTGTCTTTCTGGCTATGAAGAGTGCCATAGCTAACAACCTTGTAGATGATCCACATAGTACCTAGAAGAGGGCACCTTTTATTTTAGGGGGTGGATTTCTGACAGTGGGCTTGCTGGGTGAAAGGCACATGCACTTTTAACTAAAGAGACGCTATCAGAAAGCTCTTCTAAAACGCAAACAGTCGTGACGTTTTTATAGGCCGTGTGTGAGCGTACTCTTTTGCACACATTCGTGCCATCACTAGGTGACACAGGCTTGTCTTTCCATTTTGTCAGCATGATGAATATAAAATGATACTTCGCTATTTCGCCATCTTCATTGTCCTGCCACCAAGCGACTTGGACCGTCTTTTTATTTTCCACTGGGCCGTCTGGGCTGGTTCCTCCAACGCCTTCTCGCAGCTCCTGCCCATTCTTCTGTTGGGCTGTTCGTCTCCATCTCGACAGTCTGTAAGAGCTGTTGATATGTATTAGCTATTAACTCGTTTACTCTATTACCTTTATAATAAAAGGGAGCTTTATTTTAGAAAAAAGAGGCAGAAGATAAAAGGACCTGAAATTCATTCAAAGATGAAAATGCTTAAAACATTCTCTCTTGGAAAGATTTGCATTTTAATTGGTATGAAGCCTGAAAAGAACGAAGATCCTAGAGATACTTCTAATCATCAGGGAAAGGGTATAAATCAAACCTCTCTGATGCTTGATTTGCACTTCCCTCATAGATATTTAATCTGCATGCACTATAGTATCTGGATACACGGTGATGCTGAAAGGCTGAGGATGTGTTATGTCCAAAACAGATGTGGGAAAAAGGGCAAAAACAAGATTCCAAGGGGGGCAGTTTGCAGGGACTGAAACTTTCAGGTACCAGGTGACCGTAGTGGACCTTTTGTCTGTTTGCTTGTTTGTTGGCTCTAATTTCTTTGTTCTTTTCTAATTATTTTATTTGAGAGAGAGAGAGAGAGAGAGCATGAGCAGAAAAGGGGCAGAGGGAGTGAGAGAGAGAATCTTAAACAGGGCCCCTCCCTTAGCACGGAGCCTGGCGTGGGGTTCGATCCTATGACCCTGGGATTATGACCTGAGCCGAAATCAAGAGTCGGACCCTCAACCGACCGAGCCACCCAGGAATCCCTGATTTCTTTTTATTGTGGTAAAAATAGAGATAGAATAAAAATTGTGAGTGTCTAGTTCAGTTCAGTGATATTAGGTATATTCATATTGTTGTGCACCCACTACCACCATCCATTTCCAGAACTTGCCTGTCACCCCAAATGAAACTCTGTACCCATTAAACACTAATTCCCCATTTCCTCCTCCCCAGGCCCTGGCAACCACTGTTCCACTTTCAGTCTCCATCGGTTTTCCTACTTTGCACACTTTGCGTAAGTGGAATCACACGGTATTTGCCTTCCTGTGACTGGCTTGCTTCACTCAGCATAAAGGACCCCGAAGTTCATCGATGTTGTGGCATACGATAACACGTCCTTCCTGTTGAGGCTGAATGATTTTCGCGGTGTATATAGACCACATGTTGCTGATCTGTCCGTCCACTGACGGGCCCTTGGGTCACTCCCACCTGATCGCCATTGCAGCGGCCACGCCATTTTCCATCCCTTCCAACAATGTACAAGGGTCTTGATTGCTCCCAATCCTTGTCAACGCTTTTTTTTTTCTTTATTTCTTTAGTAGCCATCGTAACGCGTGGAAGTGACATCCTACTGTAGTTTTGATCTGCATTGTCCTGACGTTGAGGGACGTGGAGCATCTTTTCGTGTACTTCTTGTCTGTCTGTGTACCTTGGGGAGGACCTTTGTCTTGAGGCTGGCACAGGCTTGATCCCACAGAGGAAGCTGATATTCAGCCCTGGGCTCAAATTCCCAGAACCGGAATAAGAGTGCTGATGTTTGCCTCCGCTATTTAGAGGCCATGGAAATAGCCTGACATAGTGCAGCCCCCACCCCCTAATTCCCCCAATGAAACAGACGATGACAACAGCAGCAGAGGTCCCCTGGGGCACATGCCCTAATCAATTTCCCTATCACCTGGCCCCAGATCCCTGATGCGGGAACCACTGTAGGCTCCATCACTTCCAGCTTGCATCATCTTGGGCAACCGCGACCCAGTACTCTTCTTACAAAACGGATCTTGACTTGTTTTTCTGTAAGGTCAGGAAAATACCTCCAGGAGCTGTCCAGAGGATCGAGCACTGAATGCATATGAAGTCACTTTGAAATGTGTTTGAAACATTAGGGACATAGGACCTCTCTGGCAGCTTATCAGCGGACGCCTGATTTCATTCTGCGAGCTGCTGAACCCCAGAGAGGAATGGTTAACCCCCCCCCTTTTTTTGAGCGAGCATAAGAGGCGACTTGAGTTTGGCTCCTTAAATGTATCTATATGGTATTAAAAGCTCCCCTTCCGTAAATGTGTCAGAGGGGAGAGGCTTAGCCGTGGTAGGATGTCCTAGTCAAAGGTAGGATTCATAAGATAAGGTGCTAAGCAGTGGAAGCCCCTCCCTCCTGTCCCCACCCAGGGTTTCCAAAAGCACTGGTGAGCTGCTGGTCAGTGAATGCGTGGCTGGGTGCTTGATGAGAGTGGTCCTTTACAGTTGAGGACCAAGGTCCTGGGGAGTCTTGGGGATGAGCAGGCAGACGCCTCGCCCCACCTGTTAACTATGGCCACATTCATCCCTCTGACTCCTCCTTCTGATAGCCAGGTACCTTTTGAGCCCAGAAACATTATTTCTGCCATTTACATCGTATCCAAAAAAAAAAAAAAAAAATTGGAAAATATAAGTAATAAAAGTGAAATCTGCTGGTTGGCAAAGTACGTCATGAATCACAGCGGTTCTCCGAAGCATTTGAGCCAAGAGGATATTTTGGTTTAAACAAGTAATGTGATTCCGGCCAAAATGGCTTCCAGATTTGAACTTCCAAAAAAATCGTCACGGTTCACCATGTCGCTTGGCTGACACACACAGGGCGATCCCCCCTCCTAGGACGAAAGGAAATTTCTAGGAAAAATCAAAGTCAGCCTGTATATTTTCTCACCGGAGGGCATGGGAAGAAGAGAGACAAAATAGGGATCGTTACAACGTTGTAATCTGTTAGTCATCCAAACACCTTTCTCTGTGTTCTATAAATTCTATTCCAGCTGCATAAACTGCACTAGACCCAAGGACGGCCTCCACGAGGAAAAAAAAAAAAAAGAAGAAGAAGAAGAAGAGGAAACAAAACAAAACCAACCACATAATAGAACTGGGGACCACTTTAATGGTAAAGTGGTCATAAACCAGCGTGTTGGAATTTCATCAATGTGACATCATTCCCGATGTGACATCGGAGAGCCCACCCTCAATTTCCCCTCCATCTATCTCTCACGCTCGCCTCCTTTCCTCTTAAAGAGATGATGAAGCTGCCCGTGCAGCACAGAAGGATAATAAAAACCTGTATCCCTTAAGTTGAATTCAGCCCATTGAACTGCACGAACAGCAATAACCAAAACAAAGCTAGCAGGAAACGTTTGCACACAGCATCTGTTATGATCACATAACCACGAGACAGCTGTTTAATCCCAACTGTTAACATAAGATCATTTGTGTGTTTGAAGAGCAATCCCATTTGGATTTCCCCCTTTATTTATTTATTTTCTAGCTTTTCCAAGAGAGAGGCTTTCTCAGCTGTAGGATGCAATTTGTGTCGCTGGCTTTTTCCACTTTCGCCCTTAGCTTCCGAACGAGTGGGGCGGTGTGGTTTTCTCACTCTAAAGACCCAGAGGAGAGAGAGGACGGCTGTGTGGTCTCTCCTAGCTGGGAGCAGGGCGCGGGCCTTGCTCGGCCCTGGGGACCTGCTTTTTGCTCCCCAGAACATTCATAAACTGTTCTGGCCAGATTATGGGAAAAGGCCCTCACATGAAACACGTCTGGTGGTCTTTGCCAAGTTCTGGTGAGACCAGAGTTTTCTCAGCACCACCCAGGATTGGAACCCATCCCTGTAAAGTTCGGTTCCAAAACCTAAAAACAAAGTCATCAGGCTCACAACTGCTTTTGCCGAGGTCAACGGAGGGTGTCAGCAGTTTGGGTGGCCTGCCTCAGTGCCCGCTCTGGAAGCCTGAGCAGGAGACCTAGGTGGCTTACGGTGAATTTCAAGGGCAGGCTTTTCCTTTTATTTTGATTTCGTGTTTTCCGTTTATATCGTAGCTCAGTGCCTGCGGGCTCCCCAAAGGCTCAGGAAAGAACAGGCATGTTTCACTGTTGAGCTGCAGCCAACGTGTCACAGGAGGGGTTGACTTCTGTGGCAGGCAGGGCAGAGCCTGACCACGGGGTCCCGGGGGTGAGGGGAGCTGGCCGGGCCAGTTTGGACCAGCACTAACTTGGAAGGCTGCCTGCAATTTGCGTGACATCCACCTCTCTTCACCTCCTTCTTTACACATCTCATCCCAGAGAATCCTCAGTCTTGATCCCAACATGATAGCGGTATATGTAGTACTCAGTTTATCTTCCTGGGAAAGTTGAAAGCCCAAGTCCTTCCAACACGTCGAATCAATGTCTTAGACCGGATTCTTAGGAGAAGTTCATTTCTAGGTCATAGGAACCTTGGAAATGTGAGGGACCTTTTACTTGTCCCTTTTCTCCTCTCCTTCTCTTTCCTTTCTTCCTTCCTTCTTCTCTCCCTCCCTGCCTCCTTCCCTCCCTCCCTCTTTATTTTCTTTCTTTCTTTCTTTCTTCTTTCTTTCTTTCTTTCTTTTTCTTTCTCTTTCTGTCTCTTTCTTTCTTTCTTCGTTTGCCTGATGCTGTATTTACCTTTCCTTTTTCGACGCAAAACTGACAAAAACTGCATATATTTAAGGCATAGAGTTCGATGTTTCGATGCACACCCATATTGTGAAGAGATCACCCCATCAAGCTAATTGACATACTCAGTTTTCACGTTTGAAAAAAGTAGGCTGTGTAAATGCACTTTACATCTGGGGCACCTGGGTGGCTCAGTAAGCGTCCAACTTCAGCTCATGTCACCATCTCGCGGTTCGTGGGTTCGTGAGTTTGAGCCCCACTTCGGGTTCTGTGCCGACGGCCCACAGCCTGGAGCCCGCTTCGGATTCCGTGTCTCCCTCGCTCTCTGCCCCTCCCCGGCTCACGTTCTGTCTCTCTCTCGCTCTCAAAAATAAATAAACATAAAAAATAAAACATAACTAAATGCAATTTGCTTCTTTCCAAAATGAAAAATATCACAACAAGAATTGTTGAAGGGCCTCTGGATTTCTCCTGAGTGAAGTAGCCTCTCTTCTTTTCTCTTGCGGCTCTGCAACTATTTCACAATTATTGTTTTCGTTCCCCGTCCCTGTCCCCTCAAAGAAGTTACAAAAGACTAGATGTCACTTTTCTGAGATGTAGTGAGAAAATCAAAGTAGTTCAGTTATGGCAGCCGTCAGAAGAGACTGACTATCGATTTGGGAACAAATTAAGTACTTAGGTCAGTCTATGGTGTGATTTATTATCATACTTAGACAAAATGCTTTTGCTTTTAACCTGACATTCTTTATCACACGTAAGAAAGTTTGCATCCCACTGCGGGGAGTTGGGGGGGGGTATGGGGGGGTGCATGTGGCATCCACAGATTGTGAACCATCATCCATCTTAACGTTTAACTTCCCCTGCTTGGGACCAAATCACTAACATCTTTAATGGGAGCAAATCCTTTATCGTCTGATTCATTTCCATGTTTTGTTTCTGCAGCTAGACAGGATATCCTGTGAGGGGGTGAAAAGGGAGGGAAATTTAGTACTATCCATTCCTGATTTGCCATTATTATTATTATTGCTTTTTCTCCCCTCAAGATGATATTATAGTCGTCTACTGATTTTCATACGTAACGCCTATTTTTGGTGACTTTTTTTTCCTTCTCTCCTTTCCCGTTTCTACCCTAGTTCACAAAGGACTCTTGGCAGGAATTGGAAGACAGTTTAGCTTTGCTTCATAAAGAAGCCGTATCATTTAATATTTGCTACTTTTCATAAAAGTAAATAATGGAACAGTTCTTCCGGACCCTAAGTTACTGAATAAAAGCCCTGGTTTGTTTTCTTTCTTTTAGTTAAGTATGGGACCAGTGGAGGATACAGTTTTGCGAGATTTTAGGAACAAAGGAATGCCCCAAGTGGAGAGAAAAACTTCACTGTCTGAACCAGTGCGCGAAAGTTGCAAGTATCTCTTAGATTGTCATTAGTCAGCTAAAACCAGGAAATAAATACCCACCCTGTTTTGTGATCACCTCCAGTTACTGTTGTAACAGGAAACATGAATGAATGAGAGAGGTGATCTGAGGAAAACCGGAGTCCCTGTTGGACAGGGACGGATTCACATACCACACACTCCTCCCCAGGACACTTAGACCTTCTTATCTGAAAAGAACCAGATAAATCTACTGTCGCCCCAGTAATGCTTGAAACTGGGCCACATTTTTTTCCGAAACTGGCGTCAAACGCCCCAAGTTTTAGAAAAGAAGTTGTCTGGATGATTCGGCTTCGTTGCATTTTTGTCGGGTACAAGATGCCGCATTTCGAGGCAGTATATGTCTTTGAACAAACCTTGCAAATGTTCCCATTCAATACGCTTCTGTGTCCTACCCAACATAAGCTAGATCTTGGCCAACAACTGTGCTTGGAGAAATCATGATTTTACACACAAGCATCTTTGAAAGGAGGGCAGGTAGAAAGTTACATTGTTGGATATCGCGGGTGAGGATGGAGAAATGAACCAATTCTCAACGAGGACGGAGAAATGAACCAATTCTCAACCGGTTAGAACCAGAGACTTCCTTTGGCAAGACTTCCCTGCATTGCATTTTCTTCCCTTTTGGGTAACATACTCAGTGGCAGACCGTTCCTGAGCTGGCCATCTTGAATGTAGGAAACAAACAAAAAACTGAGCAAGACCACAATGGCAGTGTAGGTTGCAGGGCATGGACAGGGTGCTGGCGGGAAGTCATAAACGGGCAGCTTATTGCATTCCTCGGAGGGCCAATAAATACATCCTTTGCTGACACAAGTCAGTCAAGAATTATCGTATATAAAATAATTATTTCATGTGATGTCAATTTTCCTCATGATTCTTGATAATGAGCTCTCCCTGAGAACTTATTCGACATCCTTTAATATACGACACAGAGGCTAAGATTAGAAGCACTCCTAAAATTTACTTTCCCTACATCTTCTAGAAAGCTTATATTAAAGACACGTCTGGGAAAAAAACAAAACATCTCTGCAATCTGATCTAAATTTTTGGACTGTAGCCTCCCTTTACTCCCTCCCCTAGCCGTCTCTTTGCCTACCAGCCAATGATATGCATGTACTATTGAGGCAAATGGAAACTCTGTCCAAGACCGGCTCACCCCCGTGTGTTTTTATAAATCCGATAGGGCATAACTCACTACGCTAATGGAGGGTACATTTAATTTCACTTGTTGCAAACACTCCCGGGAATATTTTACACTTAGAAGTATGTGTTCTGAGTTTGTTAAATGGGTTGGTTGCTTTCTGATTTTCTTTTCTTTTCTTTCCTATTTTTTTTTTAACTAAATTGATAGAATTGATTGGTAATTTGGGCATTGAAAACCGGAAGATTCTTCTGACAATTGAATCAAAGTGTGTTTAATCTTTTTTTTAAAGGCTTTTCATTGAACAACAACAACAACAAAAATACTTTGAGGAAAATAGTCTGATTAAGCATTTTATACAATCAGAAAAGAAAACTTATGCCAGCCAATTCTTGGTCCCTCATTCCCTCAAACAACTGAAGTGGTAAATTGAGGCAATTATCCCAAACACCTTTCCTTAATTATAGGGATTGTCTAGGTAAGCAGGTTCTGAGCCTAAATTTTTGCAATAATTATCTTAATTTGCACTTTGTTTTGCATGTGAAGACACAGACTTAGCATCATGGTCACTTACAATTTTGTATCCGAACTACATAGCTAAACGCACTTGAAAACGGAAATCCATCCAAGAGATACTTTAATGCCGGTGCTAAACTGATTTTTTTTAATCTTACATTCTCTTACTGGATTTTTCAGATTTCTTATAATGAGCTTGTTATTACATTTGTAATTTGAAACAAATGAGCTTATCAAAAATTACATTCAAATAAAATACCTTGAATTAATTTCCAGAGTTTCTCTATGTGTGGTCCGGGATGGGAAATGGTTACAGCCATCTCTGGAAAATACA